GTTAATGAGCTCAGCACTTGCAAAGGTAAGACCATACATATTATCCACTGAAGAAACTTCCTTCGATTGCGTGGCCAGCAAGTCTAATGAAATATGTTGCCCGTGTGGACGGCGGCGCTCTTCCATATCTCTGACACGGAACTGTTATAATTCCATGTTGTTTCGGCCGAGCGTTGCAAATCTTCGTGCAATAAAACATCCCATGCAAGCGCCAAAACTGAAAAGCGCGACAATCAGAACGAAGTGCGGTTTGCGGATGTGCTCTCTCTCTTTCTCTCTTTCTCTCTTTTCCCCCGATCCTTGCCCTCTCCTGCTCGCCTTCGCACGGATCCCCCTCCTCCCTTTGGCCTGCAGAAGCGAGTTGGGCCGGTGCTTGGCTGCGTATCTTCGTTACCATTCGGGCAGGAGGAGCAGGAGGAGCAGGGCCAGGGCAGGGCGCTGGGGCCGGGGCCAGGCCCAGGGCCGGAGCTGGGGCTCGGGCGGGGGCCAGGATCAGGGCTGGGGCCAGGGCCAGCACGGGGCCGGAGCCAGGGCCGAGGCGGGGGGAGGGGCCCCCTGCCGAGAGGGAGACCACCCGACCACCCCCGCGTCCCGCTTCTCCACAAGGGGGCCGCCCGGGGATTGGGGATTTCACGACCGCGGGGCCCCCCCCCCGGGATCCCCCCGCGACCATGCCCTGGGACCCCCCCTGTGTTCGATCCCCTCTGCTGTTCGATCTCCTCTACGACGACGATTCACAGGAGGCTGGCGTACTTCAGTTTGGGTTGGGCTGGCCTCGCGTCGAAGGGCCTCTCACACACGCCGACTGGGTCGGCGGATGCCATTCTTGCGGCGGACTGGGGGGGGAGAAACGCGATTCATATAATCAAGATCCCGGGCTCTGGGCCCAGGGCCTCCCTCCCCCCCAGATGGGATGGGCCTCAGGGTCCCTCGCCCCCCCCCCCAGACTCCAGATGGGATGGGGACGACGACGACGACGACGACGACGAAGGCACCGTCCGCTCCTGCTCCCTGAGGCACTGCAACACCACGCCACACCCAGAGGGAGGCGACGACGGGGAAGACACCGTCGACGGCGATGTGGCTTCTCCTCCTCCCTCCGTCCCCCTCCTCGTTATTTGGCCCTCTCTTCCCTACCTTGCTCCCTTCTCTCACTTGCTCTCCTCCTCCTCTTTCTCCTCCTCCTCCTCCTCCTCCTCCTCCTCGTCTTCCTTCTCCCCCTTGTCCTCTCCGATTTGGGGGGAGGAGGGCCCGACCCCATACCCAACACCGCACGCCCACAGGGGAAGACTCCGCCACGCCAAGCCCACGGTGACGGGGAGAGGGGGCCCATCGCGCTGGGGGGAGCCCGATGGCATCAGCATGAGGGGGGGGCAGACCCTGGATCATATATATATATATATATATATATATATATATAGCTTCACTTATGTATCGGAGTAGACCAGAGGGGGGGGGGGGGGGGGGGGCGATGCCTGTTCCCCCCATGGGTGCCTGCCGGGGGTTGTGGGGGGTTCCAGAGCTCCCGAGGCGGCCCGGGCCCGCCCCGAAACACTCCACGACAGGCTGAGGAAGTCCCGAGATGGCCCAAGAGGCCCCGAATTCGCCCAAGCTGCCCTCAAGACGGCCGACCCAAGAGGCTCCCAAAGAGGGTCCTGGGAGGCAAAGTTCATGAATTGTCCGTGGATGTTTAAAGGATTTTGGCGTTCTTATTTTCCCCGCTTCCCAGCGCTCCCTCACGGCCTCGGAGGCCCTTCAGATCGCTCCAAGACGGCGCACGAGGCCCCGGAGAGGGCCCCAAGGCGGCCCAGGAGGCTCCCGAGACAGCCCAAGTGCGCCCCACGAGCGGCCCAAGAGGGAGCCCAGAGGGGTCCCCAGGCGTCCTGGGCCCGCCCCGAAGCAGGCCACGACAGGCTAAGGGGGTCCCGAGAGGGCCCAAGACGCTCCCAAGAGGCCCCGACGCCCAAGCTGCCCTCAAGACGGCCGACGAGGATTCCAACACGCTCCAGGACGGACTTAAGAGGCTTCCCAAGTGGGCGCCGGGAGGTAGCAATCATTGATATTCCGAAGGTTTTTGAAGGATTTTGGTGGTCTCGCTTTCCCCGCTTCCCAGCGCTCCCTCACGGCCTCGGAGGCCCTTCAGATCACTCCAAGACGGCGCACGAGGCCCCGGAGAGGGCCCCAAGACGGCCCAGGAGGCTCCCGAGACAGCCCAAGTGAGCGCCCAAGAGGGGGCCCAGAGGGGGACCGCCCACCGATATTTCAAGGTCTCTGGCCTTAAGAGGTCCCCAGTAGGCTCCCAGAGGCCACCAAGAGGCTCCCACGAACCCCCGTGAGGCGGCCAAGAGGCTTCCAGGAAGCCCCAACAGACCCAAAGGGGCTCCCAGGGAACGCCCAAGAGGCCCCCCAACACACCCCAAGGAATCATTTCCCCAGAAAGCCTTCCGGGGACATGGTGCATCATGGGCCCGAGAGTTCCTGGAGGCTCCCAAGGATCTCCCATGGGACGCCCAAGAGGCCCCCCAACACCCCCCAACAAGTCATGTCCCCAGAAAGCCTTCCGGGAAAATGGTTCATCGTCGGCCTGAGGGTATCTGGAGGCTCTGAAGTACCATCGCGCTACCGGAGAGCTGTCTGGGAAGTTGATTGGGAACAGGAAGTTGACTGGGAACATGACTGATCGCCTTCTCGTGCCCCCCCGCAGATCGTTTCGCACACATTTGCCGCAAGTGCCTTCTTGAACCGACGACGACGACGACGACGAAGACGACGAAGACGACGACGACGCCGACGCCGACGACGACGACGACGACGGTGCGCCCCAAGAGATGACGACGACATTACGACGACGACGACGACGACGGCACGCCCCAACAGGCTCCCCAAGATGCCCCCAAAACCCATGCTCCCAGAAGGCCTTCCGTGAACCCGATTCATCCGGCCCCCGCCCCCCTACACAACCATCCTCCCCGAAAGCCTGTCGGAATGCGGATTGACATGCGTGGATTATGGTCCATTATTTCACTGGAGAAGTGAGCTCGTCAAGGCCTGGAGCCTGCTACAACCTGAGCGCGCGCGAAGCGCGCGATGGTTCTAGTGTAAGTGTGTACAGATATATACATACGCACATGTATATGTACACATGTATTTGTAATATACGTATGTATATATATATATGTGGTATCTATGAGTGTATGCATACACACGTATGTTTGTGCATGTGTATATATATATATACATATATATATGTATATACATAAAAACACACCAGAACACAAGGTCCGGGGAACGAGCCCTGACAGCGCACGGCGGCTGCGGGCGTCCGACGCTTTTCCAGGGCGGCCCCGGGAGCGTCCCGCACGGTGCCCGAGACGCGGCGCGGAGTGCCTGGAAGCTTGAGGAGGCCTCGAAGAGCCCCCCCCCCCAGGCAGCCCAGATGGCGCCGATACAGCCCGAGATAGGCCCAAAACATCCGACACACGGCCCTCCAGGACCCCAAGAAAGCTCCCAGAGATCCCCCGAGAGAGCCCCAAGAGGCACACATCGTTGATTTTGCATTGTTTTTTGTTGAAGGTGTTTGGTCTTTCGCGTTCTCGGGCTTCCAACGCACCAAGAAGGCCGAAGAGACCCCCAGGACCGCCCCAAGACGGCCAAACAAGGCTCCAAAAGCGCCCCAGCACATGCCCAAGACGAGCCCAAGAACCTAAGCGCGGGCGAAGCGCGCGCCTGGTTCTAGTATATGTATGGATGTATGTATACACGCACATATCTATACGTACATGCTATGTGTTCTTTTGATGTGTATGTATGTAGACGTGTGTTTTCATACGTACACTCATATATATGTATATGTATGTATGTATATACATGCATACCTATAAACGAATATACATGCATACATACATGCATACATGCACACACATGCATGCACACATGCATGCATGCATGCATGCACGCGTACGCGCACATAGATACATACATACATACATACATGCATGCGTGCACGCATGCATACATACACACGTACATACATACACACAAACATACACATATTTTTCATGTATAGGGGACAGGGCTGGTGGCTCCCAAGCGGCCCGTCAACGCGCCATGGGAGCCCCGGGGCTCGGGAGGCTGAACGCGCCCCCGGAGAGCGCCAAGAGGGTTCCAAGACAGCCCAATAGCGCTCCAAAACGCCCAAGATGGCCTCAAGATGGCGATCGCGGGACGTCCCCGGCGGTCCACTTTGTCCCGCCTTCTTTATGTCGTTTATTTGCGCACTACACGGTTGTGAATAATTATTGGTTTGACTGTCCCCCAGATCGTTCGTGTAAGTTGTTTAAAGATATTAGGAGCAGACGAGAAAAGGAGGAGGAGGAAAAGGAGAAGGACGAGGAGAAGGAGGAGGAGGGGGAGGAGGAGGAGGAGGAGGAGGAGGAGGAGGAGGGGGGGGGAGGAGGAGGGGGAGGAGTGGAAGGAGGCGGGAGGAAGCGGGGAAAAAGCGGAGGAGAAGAGGACAAGCAAGAGGGTTGTGGGGGGGGAGGGGGGGGGAGGAGGGCGATATGATTATTATTTGGGCGCGAAAAGTTCTGTTGTGGGGCCTGCGTGCTGGACTGGTCGTGGGGACTGCGTCCTTTTCCCGCCTGATCCTCCGCACACTGCTGTCTCTTCCTCCTCCCTTTTCCTCTATCCCTTCACCGTGGTCATGGCCCTTCATATCCTTTAGTGCCCGTCTGCGGTGTCGGCCAGGACCACGCCTCTTGCTCCTCGTCCTTATCCCCAAACCTTCTCGGTTTGTGGCCGGGTTCTCATCAGTGTGGGCCCGTCGAGGCCAGTCTTGGGCCGCGCGGCAGTACACAAGTTGCCCACGAGAAGTCGGGGAGGAGTGGGTGGGCGGGGGCCGGCACACCACGGACTCAGAGCATCCGGCATGGCGTGAATGAAGAGTTGGGTGTGCTGCGGTTGTTTGTTTCACGGGGTGATGTGCCCTTGCCCTTAATCAGTCCCTAGAGAGCGACGTCATCGTCTTCGAAGTGCCGCAGCTGTGGATCATTCCCGACCCGGATTTCGTTGCCAAGAAGGAGTGTATAGGCTGACCTCTGCGGACTGCCCAGCTCAGTCTTGCCATACGTGATCGATTTGAGTGCGTTGTTGCAGTATGTTCTTGGTTGTTCTGTTCACACCCATGATTGCGGCTTGCAGCATCGCAACCAACATGTTTTCACATGTCTCACGTTCGGTTGAGTACTAGATTTCGCTTCCAGCCCTTGTTGCCGACAAGTGCGCGACCGAGTGGTGGCCATCCATCATGTCTTCGAGCGCAAGCACTTGATGCATTTACGCATGTAACTCTATCGTACCTCTTTTCGGATCCCCCTCCCTCACACACACACACAAACAACATACACGTGCAACATGATCTGCCCTCTCCAGAAATTCCTCAATTGCTAGAGTTTGCCCAAACCAGTCGGTCTAATATCCAGGGCTGCAACGTCCATCATGCGTTTGAACCTGCGCGAGTTTCTTCAAGCTACCCTTCGATCCACCAGGCGACATTACCACGACGGGTTTGTCAGAAAATGCCCTGCGGGCTATCTCCGCGCTAGATGCGCATGGACGACCTTCTGCTGGCGTGTGGTCCGTAGTCCGGCTGAGTTCTCGGCGGCTCAACAGTTGAGATGTTGTTGACATCGTTATTATGATTCGGAGGCGAGGTGAAGCACGAAGAAAGTGTAAATACTGAGATGGAGGAGTAGGAAGAAGCTGCACGCCGTTGTTCATCACTTCCTCCCCTCCAGGCTTATATCCTGGCAGCCTCTGGATGGGCTTCCTGAACGCGTGGGGGCCGGTGGTGACCGCCATGGTGTATTTCAGGACCGACCGTCCCTCCCCGCGCAAAGGGCTCGAATTATCGACAAAGTCAGGTGCTGGAGCGTGCAATGGGGGGGGGGGCAGAGGGCGTCGGTCGAGCATTCTTCGACTGAGCTCTTACTCGTCCTCCCCCCTTCTGCCGCCTCCTCACTTGGAGGTCGCTGCTCCTGGGAGGTTGAATTGCCGTGATCGGGGAAGTGCTGGGCAAGCAGTGGAACAGCGAGGGGGGCGGCGGTCTGACCGAGGCTCGGGATCAGCCTTTGGCGCACCCAAGAGTGAGCCAGAAATTGGTTTCGCCACTCCTTCGATAGCTTGGGCTGTCGAGCAGCGTTCTCAGGCCGTCTTGGATCCCTCCGCACGCCCTCCTGAGCCAGCTTGGGGCTGTTTTGGGTCCGTCCTGGGCCGTCAAGGGGCCCTCTTGGGAAGCTCAATGAGCGCTTCTCGTCGCTCGAATTTCGTCTCCCCAAGATTGTGATCGTTTTTCCCGGAAAGGGCGTGGGCCCAGGGTTCTCTTTTAGTTGGTTAACCCCCCGGCCCCCCTGCGACTTGGGCCGGCGAAATTATTTTGCGAGCGGGCACGCACGGAGTAGGGCCGGCGAAATTATTTGTGAGGATGTCTCGAGCGAAACGCTTGTTTTTCAGAATTTGTTGAGGATGTCTCGAGCGAAACGCTGGTTTTGCAGAGTTGGGGATGTCTCGAGCGAAACGCTTGGTTTCAGAATTTGTTGAGGATGTCTCGAGCGAAACGCTGGTTTTGCAGAGCCGACCGCGACACGGAAAAGCGCTCCTCGCGCAGGAATTCCGAGGATGTCTCGCGCGTGCCGCGTCCCGCACGCAGGAATTTTGATTTCTTTGGGTTTTGACAGGATTTCTCAAGCGAAACGCTTGTTTGCGAAGCGGGGGCCTCGTGGGGGGCCAGAATTCAGAGGATATCTCAGGCGCAATGTTTGTTTTCGTGTCCCGCTCGCAGGAATTCCGAGGATGTCTCGCGCGTGCCGCGTCCCGCGCGTAGGAATTCGGATGATTGTGATAGGATGTCTCGAGCGAAACGCTTGTCCCCAGCACGTTCAGTAGCGCGTCCCCTTGGCACGTCCCGCGTTGCGACCCCATGGCACGTCCCCTGGCACGTCGCCTGGCGCATCCCTTGGGACGTTTCGCGGCGCGTCCTCCTGGCATGTTCCCCTTGTCAATTAGCTCTGGGGCAGCTACTATGTGTTCAGGCAGCTCGAGCTTAAGATCCAGATCAGTTCGGTCAGGACTCGGATGCAAAGGAGGACTCGATCCACGACGCTATAGAGCACAACCGCGGCATGGCACATCGCAATTCAGCACGGTGCAGCACAGCACAGCCCTCGGCAGGGTACATCAAGATCGATACACTCAGCATCGCAACTTGGCACGTTCCTTGGCACGTCGCGTGGCGCGTCCCCTGGCACATTCCGTGGCACATCCATTGGCACGTTCCGTAGCGCGTCCCTTTGGCACGTCCTACGGTGCGACCCCATGGCGCGTCCCCTGGCACGTCGCCTGGCGCATCCCTTGGGACGTTTCGCGGCGCGTCCTCCTGGCATGTTCCCCTGTCCATTAGCTCTGGGGCAGCTACTATGTGTTCAGGCAGCTCGAGCTTAAGATCCAGATCAGTTCGGTCAGGACTCGGATGCAAAGGAGGACTCGATCCACGACGCTATAGAGCGCAGTCGCGCCATGGCACATCGCAATTCAGCACGGCGCAGCACAGCACAGCCCTTGGCAGGGTACATCAAGATCGATACACTCAGCATTGCATTTGCCCGTCACCCAATCAGGTGTCTTTGAAAACGCTGCCATGTGTTACAGTTCTGTATTCCTTTCCGGGTTCGTGGGTCGATCTTGTTTTATTCATTGTTTTGCTGATCGGCGCGGGCCCTCGCACCCCCCCGTTCCCCCCCGCCATGGAGTAGATCTTGGCTGTTTTTGGTGCCTGTCTCAAGAAGATGGCTTCTCCCCCAGTGGACGCATTGTTGCAAACAGTTGCATTAAGCAGAGGTCCGGAGCCAAACTCTCCTACCCCTTCCGCCCAATGTCGAAACGCCGAATATGAAAACGTTCACGTTGCGGGAGCCCTACGAGGCAGTATTTGCATTCTGACACGCCCACATCGTGCAGGCACGGTGACGGATTCTTGAGAAAGCGGCATGGAGGATGACGAGGAGGAACTAGATGACGAGGAAGATGCACCCGAAGTAACACTCCCTCCAGGCTCACATCTGATTAGTGACGGCCTTGTGAAAAGAGGAGGGAGCATGGCTGGGTTCTGCGGTCCTCCCAGGAGGGGGCACGTCCTTGTCTGCCAGGCGAGTGCCACACCCGTTGGCGCGACAGGCGACGGGCCTTTCCCCTGAGGAGGAGGAGGAGGAGGAGGAGGAGGAGGCAGGAGCAGGAAGAGGGTTCGCCTCGAGCTGCAGGAACATCAAGAAGAAAGTGCCGAAGCCGATGTGTAACCTCTTGGTGAAATACAAGGATCGCGAGGCAACGTCTTTTCTGCTGCGCGCCCTCTGCGAGCTGCAAAGGCACACACATGGAGAGTGTTGGCGCATGCGTCGTGCTGTGCAGCACGCCGATGCACTGTGTGTGTGTGTGTGCGCGGCTGCGCGGCTCCATATTGTCTGCTCATTTCCCAGCAGACAGCGGGGGGCCCACGCCTAAAAGCACCCCGCTTGCCTCCAGGGTGCCCTGGGTCTCTTGGGTGCCGATGTCTTTGCGATGGCAAGCGATGACACCAGAAATGAATGGGCGTCCTGGGGTCTCAGGGTTGGCTTTCTTGGGGGAGGTTTCCTGTGCGAACCTGAGACGGTGCCCCTCGCGACGTGGTGCGGCCGTGGGCGGGCCCCTGGTGCCTCGGGCGGGGGGGCGCCGTGGAGCGCGGCCCGCTCCGGGAGGCTGGAGAGGAGGAACACGTGGCGGAAGGCGGATCGGCCAGGGGGGGCGGGCAGAGAGGCGCGGGAGGGGGCAGGGAAGGAGGAACGGAGGAAGAGGAAAGGAGGAGGAGCGAGGATGCGGGTCTTCCGGTCGGGTTCGGTTCGGGTCGCGACGACGTGCGCGCTGGTTTCTGGCACCGCGTGGACCGTTCAACTTTGAACGATCGCGGCCTTCCTCGGCGGCACGCCTAGGGGAAGTGAGAGCGGGCAGGCCTTCTCCGAAGGCGGCGGGGGAGGCACAGGCGGAGGAAAGGAGGAGGAGTGAGGGGGAGCGAGGGACAGGACAAGGGGCTAGAAGGAGGGAGGATGGGGGCGAGGAGGGGAAGGATCGAGGGTGAGAAGGAGAATTCGGAGAAAGAGCAGCAGCAGCAGCAGATGCTGGTCCAATTTGAGATTCGGGTCATTCTCCGCGGATGTCTCGGGCGACTGGGGCCTCCAGGGTCTCAAAACCCCGAGGTGATGGAACGTGCGGTGAGGCCTTTCAGGAGTTCGAGGGCACCTCACGGTCTGTTAGCGCAGCGCCTTTGGACCCCAAAGTCTACTTTCTCTCGCGTCGACGTCCACGAACGGGGAAGCGGATTGGTAGATGCATCCTCTTGCCCTCCTCCCTCGCGGGTGGCAGGACGTGCGGTATCATGCTCCCAGGGGCCGAGGCGAGGTCCGGGCACATCGGGCCCTTGGTCAAACAGTGTGCCAGCAGATCAGACCTCCTAGCATGGACGAGCGAAGTTTTAACGTGGTTTTGCCCGGGGCTTGCATTCGTTCTTCTTCATTTGGCAGTTATTTATCGTCTTTGCTGCATTGCCAGGCCAGTTGAGCTCATTACTAATGCGCCCACCCCAGTGACCACATCAAAACGGAAGTTCTCCTGCTTCGCTTCTCCTCCACCTGCTCTGGCTCCTGCTCCGCGTCGTCCTCCTCTTCGAATATCAGATTGCCTCGCATCGCGTGTTGGGCCAGGGAAGTGCCCTTCTCCATAAGGGCCCGCGCGAGAGCACAAACGTGCTCTCGCTTCTGCTCGTCTCGCGGCGCGATGCGCAAAGTTGTGCCCTCGCTCGTCCCTCCCCACCTATTGTCGACCCGCAGAGTAAGAAGTGGCAACCTTTCCAAAGGTATTTACCCATTGCCTCCTTGCCTCCTCGGCCCCTCCTTGGCCGCCCTCGTCGGCCGCGCCCCATTCGGGAGGCTTCGAGATGGTCTTCAAGGCCCTCGCGTTCTTATCGTGCGTCCTCCTGATACGGGCCGACTGCAATGGGAAACCCCGTGAGCGCGCAGCCTCTCGCGCCCAGTGTGCGAGGCGGGAATTTATACACGACCACTGCCTGGAGGGTCAGTTTTCGGAGCCTCGGCAGGCGGTGGATATGTACATATTCGGGCCCCCGGGGGCCGAAGCATATCCATATCCACCGCCCGCTGGGGCACCAGGACGTCGGTTCTCAGGCGGTGGATGTGGATAAATCCCCACCTCGCCCAGTGCGCGCCGCGGCAATCCCCAGCGGCAGAGCTGCTGCCGTGCCCCCCGCGCGGCCTCGCGAGGGCGCGGCTGGTGGGAGCACGCCGCACGCCGCGCCCCGGGGGCGCGAGGTGCGCAGCTCGGAGGGCGCCGCCCCCGGCCAGGGGGCGGTGCGGAAGGCGACGGGGCTGCCCTCGGAGGCCCTCCAGCCTGTGCCGAGAGGCCGCCGCGCCGCCCTCAGAGGAGGCTCGCGGGAGGCCTCTCGGGAGGCCCCGCGCCGGCCTGTGCCGAGCCTTCGGCGCTCTCGGCGGCACCGCAGCGAGTGTGCACTCACGAGCATTCGGGGAAGTTGCTGGAAGCTGCTACTTTGGGGCCTCTTTCTGGCACTGCGGCGTTGCCCACATCGGGGAGGGTTGGGTTCGCCGGGTCACTGGCCAGAGTACCCACCCGTCAGTGGAGCCCTCGTTAGAGGGGCGATGAGTTTGGGGTCCGCACAGGTGGGGTCGGAGGATCGCGCCGCATCCCCGGCGCATCGGTGATGCGGCCCGATGTGGGGCCCGATTTTCTCCGCGCCGACGTCGCCGATACATCGCCGACGTCGCCTACGAATCACCGACGCATCGCCGTTGCATCGGTGCTGCTTCGACGATGCGGCGCGAACCTCCGACCGCAACTGCTCCAACCCCATCAAGGATTCCATTGCATATTCGGGGGGCCCGCGGTGCACACAAGTAGCATGACAGTGGAGTTCTAAGTGTTGTGGGGGATAGTCTTAAGTCGGGCGCGTCCCTCTACAGGGGGAATATTCCCAAATAGTAAAAACATAGTATGGGGACGGTTTTTTGTAGTATTGCTCAGCCGTATTTTTGATTATGTTTTGTCTACTGCTTATATGTCGTCCAAATTTCGTCTGTAGGGGACATGCCCGACCTAGGGATAGTCGTCTGACGCCGTTCGGCGCTGCTGGGCGTCCTAGGCCTCGGGGCCCAGAGCTCCTGGGTCACCCACGGGGGCGCGAAGATGGTCGCGTCTCGCTGTCTGGGCTGGAGAGCTGTCCCCCGGCTGGTGACCGCGGTTCTTGTCGGTGCGATCGACATGGGTACGGAATGAAGCGGTACAAAAGCCGACACCAGTTCCAAGGGGAATGAACAATGACATTTACATAAACATTCAGAGCTCCGCGCGGAATCTTCGAATCGGCGCTGGAGCCTCCCGGCGGCGCCGCCAGCGCCGCCTCTGGCGCGCTCCGCGCGCCAGTGGACCTTATGTTTGTGTCACTCCTTGTCCCCCTGACCGACAGCAGTCCCTGTCTATTTGAACAGGATTCGCTGTCGGTGTCGCCGCGGACTTTGACCGTTGAAGACTACAAGTCGCCTGCCCAACAGCGGCTCGCATGCATTGTCACAACATGGCCTGATGGAGAACATATATCGAAATGGAGGTTGTCTCGGTTGCTATATTGAGTTGTGCGCCGCTATGCCAGGCAAGCCAGATGTGAGGTTGGCTAGAGAGGCCCAAGAAAGAACGTGAGACAGCGAACCCAGTGCACCGCGCGCGCGCAGTCCCTGAAGATGTGCTACACATTTCTGTTCGAGCGGTACCTCGTGCATCCTAAAGAGGAGCGGCTTCCGACTCGCTCTGTCTCCTCTCTCTCTCTCGTTGTTTCTCTGTTGCTTCTGCGATCAGTGTTTGCATACCGATGTGGACCCATGGCTTATCCTAGTGTTTTTCAGAGTTGCCAGTCCCTGCATACATTATTTAGCCGCTATGCCGCATTGCCTATGCGAGTCTGTCCGCGGGTTCCTTGTCTCATATCAATCGCTTCGCTCACTCCGCCGGCCCGTATTGCATGATCGCTACTGCTTCGGCGCGGGCTCGGGGCCATTTCGGCGCCGCCGGAAGGAGGAAGATGAGGATGGGGAGGGGGAGGGGAGGAAGAGAAGAGGATGAGAAGGAACGGAGGAGGATGAAGATAAATATGATGAGGAGGAGGAAGAGAAAAGGGCGGAGGAGGAAGCCTCTCGATGGCATCTTGCGGCGTTCTTGGGGCCAAACAGGGCCGTCGTCCAGATGTTTCTTTGGGAGGCCCTGGGGTCTGTTGAGAGGCCGTTCGGGGGCGCCTGGGAGACATTTTTGAAGCCTTGTAGGGCCTCTTTTGAGCCGCCTTGGAGCCTCCTGGGGTCTCTTGGGGGCCTCTTGGCGGCATCTTGGGCCATCTTGGGGGCCTCTCGGGGCCTCCTGGGGCCCTCTTGGGGCGGAAGGCTTGAGGTGTTGGTTCGTGGTCCCCATCTTGGGGCCGTCTTGGGGCTCTCTTGGGCCGTCTTGGGCGTCTCTTGGGCCGTCTCGGGGCCCGTTTGGGCTCTCTGGGGGCCTTTTTGGGGGCCTCTTGAGCCGTCTTCGTCGGGGGCCTCTTGGGCAGTCTGGGAGCATCGGAAAACCGAAAATGCGACAAGGCCAAAATCCTTCCAAAACCATAGTAAAATTGATGATTGTGGCCTCTCGGGGCGCTCGTGTGAGGCCTCTTGGAGGCCACTTGGAGCGTCTTGGCAGCTTCTTGGGCCGTCTTGGGATCATCTTCGGCGTCTTGGAGCGTCCTTTGGGCGTCTCGGGGGCCTCTTGGGCAGTCTTGGGGGCCTCTTGGGGCCCTCTTGGCGCGCTCTGGGGGGCCTCAGAGGCCGTACCCAGGAGGAAAACCATCTCTGAGTAGACCTTCCCAGGCTGCGGTCTGGGTACTTTTTTCGCCGGGGGACCCCCAGGGGCCGCCCCGCGCGCGCGAACTAGAAACATTGTTAAGTAGTTACCGGAGATCTTAGCACTCCTCTGGCCCGTTGGGCCGGCGAATTCAAACGAGGGCGTTTTTTTCTTGAGACACCCTCACAATGTGTTCAGGAATCTTGCTCGTGGGAGAGCATGCAGCAGAAAGAACACGGACGCGTCGCGTGGTTATATCCCCAGCAGCCCATCCAGATGCGCCAACCAGGCGAGGTGTTTTGATCGGGAAAGCACAGGTGCAGTGGAACAAACAGAATATGCGAATGCGTCGCGTTACCGCGAACCCTCAGCAGCACATCTAGAAACGATCCAGGCGAGGTGATTTGATCAGTCAAGAGCAGCTGCAGTGGAACAGCACACGGGGTGGGGATGGGGGGGCATCGACCCGAACCTCGAGATCAGCCTCAGGAGACCCATCAGTCATCGATGAAGCCCTTTTTTCAAACATCGCTTAGCCAGGGGCCTTTTTTGGACGGTCTAAGGGTTATTTCGGAGGCCTCTAAGACTCTTGCTGGCCGTATGGGGAACCTTGGGTGCATCTCGGGGGTTACCGATCAGAAAGAGGGAGGTTGCAATCAGCCTCCCTGGAGATTACGTAATGATCGTTTGGAGTTGTTTCGGAACTCTATCGTTGGGGCGTTCTAAGGAGTTTCCCTCATTAGTTTGGAGCCATTGCATCTTCGTGAGGCTTTCCTGCGCGATCTCGGAGTCATGATGCGGTTTCGGAAGACCATGGGAACCGAGAAGACGATGAGGCGAACACAGAAGGAATCTGTGTTGCATGATGTAGACCTCACGGGGGTATCCTTGGGAGGATCTGGTGCCATTCGGAGCTCTCTTGTTACGGTCGTTGGGCCTCTTGGAGGCATGTGTTGGAGGAGGCATTGGATTATATTGTGTTGTTTGGGCGGTAGTATTGCGCTATGGTGCACCCTCTTGAGATGGGGAGTGCCATGATGACCTCGTCCCCCTCCCAGCCTTCTCCCTCAAAAGGATTTCGGTTCTCTTTCTCCCCCTCCCCCTCACAGCCTCATCCTCCTCTTTCCCCTCTTCCCCATCCCCCACGGCCATTTTGGCTCGCGAATTCCTCCATCTGACGTCAATGGCATGCATCTCTTTCCAAGCCGGTATATGAGGCAAATCGTCTAACACTGTGTACCAGGGATCTTGTCCCTTGAGTGCAGCCTCTTGGCCTCTCCCTTTTTCCCATTCTCCCCGCACCTCTGGTGGAGCCATCTCCGGAGCACTCGCGCAGCATCGCTCGCAAGGGCCGGGCGCCCCGATCTATGCAGATCCACTGGCCCCGTGCCGGGCCCATCCTTTGCCCAGGAGCGGTGCAGATCCGTCCCGGCCACGCTGGCAGGGCGTACGCACCGCTGCTGGACCCAGGGTGGGCCTGGCACGGAGCAGCGGATCTGTACGGATCTTGTCGCCCGGGAGTTCTATGATGTTCGAGCCCGCTTTGGCCTTGATCGCCAGAAAGAATGGAATTGGAGGGTTTTCACGTGTCCGGCCCTGGGAGGCGATACTCGTTCGACACTGTTTCGATACATTTCTGGGGGCTCGATATTATTTAATCGCTTCGCTCATTCCGCCGGCCCATAATGTCGCACCGTGGTCGCCTGTCCGAGTGGTCGTTTGCAGTGTGGAGCTGCGGCGTCGGGAGCTGTGAAGTTGTCGATAAATTTGTTGTTGTTTTTTCATGGGGCTTCTAGGTGTTTGCAGTTTTTGACGGCTTTGGTGCCATCGTGGGGGCGTGTTACCCGTGGTATCCCGCTGTGGGGCCGTTCGAGCCGGGGGAAGAGACATCTTATGCGATAGGGGAACCCTCGTGTCGGAGGGTGGCGGGCTTTGAATGCTAACATTGGCTCTGTTATCGTCCTGATGTCCTCTGGCGTTGCGGACACGGGGGAGCGATGAGAAGCGATGAGGGGCGCCTTTGCCGTCGGATGCCGTCCATTTTGCATTGGGGGAGGAGGAGGAGGAGGAGGAGGACGAGGAGGAGAAGGAGGACAGGAGGACAGGAGGAGGAGGAGGAGGAGGAGGAAGAGGAGGTGGACGAGAAAGAGGAGGAGGAAAATTAGGAGGGAGGAGGGGATGAGGAGCGATGAGGGGCGCCTTTGTCGTCGGATGTCGTCCATTCTGAATGGGGGGAGGAGGAGGAGGAGGAGGAGGAGGAGGAGGAGGAGGAGGAGGAGGAGGAGGAGGAGGAGGACGAGGAGGACGAGGAGGAGGAGGAGGAGGAGGAGGAGGAGGAGGATGTGTTAGGTTGTGGATAATATTGCCGGCCTCCCGGCGCAATGCATTTAGAAGGGAATAGGGAATGAAGAGATAGAGCAGGAACGGTTGCTTGCCCGCTGACCTTTCTGACTCAAGTTTGAAAAGTCGAGTTTGGTAGCGGAGCCTGGTTCATTACAGGCTCCATCCGCTATCGCCTCTCCAGCGAGAGGCAGCGCGCGCTGATAGCGGCAGGACGCGCCCGCCTCAAGGGCGGCAACATCATCACGGTCAGCAATAGGACGAACATCAAGAAAGAGAACAGCATCGGCGACCAGCTCGCCGCGGACAACGACATCTTCTAGCAGTTTGAGAACTACGTCAATATGTCAGAGCACACCGGTCTCCCACTAGACGCATATACAAAGGGCACACCGCCCGGATGGAGACCGGCACTCATGCATTACCCATTCAGAAGATATCTTGGGCGCCTCCGATTGTGGTATCGCATGACGGACTTGAATGCAGACCAAGTGGGCCCCGCTGTGGCAGGCAGACCCCAAGGCAGACCCTACAATATGGCTTTCGGTCTGCAGGTCTCCACACAGGCGGGTGCCAATCTCCAGGGAGATGCAGCTCTCGCACATCCTGGTGAACCTCAGCAGCTCGACGGACAAGGCAACACCCTCGTGGCAGCCACCGAGAGCGGTATTCAAGTTCTGATCATAATACTGTCTCGACGATACGGTGCAGACAATCAACATATGGCCACCGGCACGATCGACCAGTTCTATGACTTGAGACGTGGAAGGCTTCCCCTTCTGGAGTATATGGCAGAGTTCGAGCATACCTATGAGGAAGCCAACCGTCTCGGGAATCTCAATCTGAATAGTGTTGCGCTCAGCCATCATCTTCTCAAGCAATCAGGCATCGAGAAGTCGAAGCTGGATCACATTCTGCTCCTGGTGAACGGCGATCTTGATCGCCTCGAGGACATCAAGGACCACCTCATGCGCTTGGCCAAGAGTCAGACACCAGCTCAGATTCCCGGCATTGGTGGTTACATGGCCGATCCTTACGACGACAATGATCAGTATGACGACAGCTGGTACGATGACGAGTGGCAAGAAGATTCATGGTATGATGATTCGTGGGGCAGAGACACCTGGTATGGCGATCAGTATTATGGTGACGGCTGGCAGGACGATTCGTGGTATGACGAAGGCTGGGACTACGATGATCGACACTGCGCAGGCGAATCCCATGCAGAAGACTCAGCTCCCGCCTCGCCACCGGCCTCGTCACCAGGCACTGCTCAGGACCTCGAGACCCTGCCCTCCGACATCAAATTCGGCAAGAACCGCAAAGGCAAGTCTCGGGGCCGCAGCAAAGGCAAGACATCAAATAAAGGCAAGAGCAAGGGCAAGAGCGGCGGCGGCCGCTCCAACAGGACTGGTTGCGGCAGATGTGGCAGCCCCAATCGCAACACCACGGACTGCCCGTGGAACCAAGGTGAGAGCAAAGGCAAGTCATCTGGCAAGGGCAAGAAGGGCCACTCGAGTTCACGACCAAAAGGCAGTAAGGGACACTCGAGCGGACCCCTGGCATTCTGAAGCAGATCCCTGGTCAA